TAACACTGGGTGTAAAGCATCCAACAGTTTGTTCCAATTGATAGATTCAAGCTTATCTAGTAAGGTGTGAATTATTTCATACATATAATTACCTAATGACTTGGCTGTAAAATTTCATCTCAGACTTGAAACTGGCATATGGAGATGTATTTTGAAATTGGTCTCTAAGCGCATGATCTGTAAATGCTTCTACTTGCAGCTCTACTCTTTTGACATGATCCCAGTGAATTCATGATCCTATTTAAAGTTTATATGAAAAACAGAGGGTTTCAACCCTTTGGGAATGCTTACATGAACGTGACTCACCCAGCTCCCTCAGTGCACCAAAAAGCTTCCTACTGCACTCCTCCAATTTTTTGACTGCCACCTCCTTCCAATTAAATATGACAATGAGCATTTAACAGGGCAGGATTTGCACATGTGCTCCTCAAGCATAATACATAATGGAGCAGTTTGCTCCCTAAAATACTGTCACCTACTTTTTACCCCCATAATCTCCTGTAGCCCAAGACAGAAGGAAGACATGCTTTAGCGGATGCAGACCCCAGCTTCAAACTTCCACAGGCTGATTTTGGTTGCCAGGACTGCCATTCATCACTTCTAACACACAATGACTGGCAACAGATGACTGTCAATGGGTCTCTAGTGTTTCTTCAAAGATTCAGTCCCTCATGTCCATTAACAAATGCATCCCACATCCCAAAAAGAGGCTGAGCTCCTTAATTTTGTTTCTCCAACTGGACACTTTTTCCATTCATTTTTTTCTCCCCAAGAATAAGATTTTCAAATCATTCGCACTGCTTTACCCTTCATTAGCAACACTTCCTTCTGCTCTAATTTCTGGAGGTCATATACTGCTTACTTCTATTTTTTCCTCTATTCTTTCAACATTCTTCTTATATGTATGTATGATCCTGACTGAAATCTGCTATAGAAATGCTTGACCCAAAAACTAAAAAAGAATTGAGGAGCAGCCATCTGGGGTGAAAAGACATGGTTTATAGTTGCTCATAGTCAATTTAGATGGTAAAAAAGAACCTCTGTAATGAGCTCTGACTCTTGAGAAGCCTTAATATAAGAAGAGCAACAACTATTTCCTGCTGTGACACCAGTGGTTAGGTGGATCACCATGTGAAAATCATCTGCCCAGCTGACTGCTTCCTTCTCCTCTAATTTTACCAAGGAATCTGTTTTTAAGTCACACAAAAGCCAATAATATGAAGTAAGTGGGTGAAATGGGATGATCTTTTAATGCAGTCTACACCGGACAATTTAATGCTCCTTTCTGGCATTAAAGTCTGCACTGTATCCAGGTACTTCCACTTGGATAACCAAAGCAGAGGGTTTAATTAGGCCACTATATTTAGAACCGGAGCCTGCAACATGTCACTGCATTCAATATTTGTAAAAGCAAGCTTCTGTAAAAGCTAAAAACATTAGAAAATATTCTGATTTTTTAAATCTTTCATTATGCACCTTTTTAAACACTTCTTAAATTCTTTTGAAACATAAATACTATAAAGCAAAATCTGTAAAGAAAAATAGATTGCTAAAAAAAAACAAAGCATAACTGGTTTATTTGCTTTTATTCAAAGAGTAGAGATAATGAAAAACAAAAGCACTATGGCTCCAAGTTTTGGAGCAGACACAAAGAAAGGAGGCATCTAACCAGACTGTTAACATTGCATTAGTAATGTCACCATCTTGAAAAATTTAGCAAATGACTATTTAGAGCTCTACGCACCTACACAGAAAACACATGAACACACACATACTCTTATAAACATAGAGAAAGGTTTCTTTACTCCTAATGTATCTTAAATTGTGTACTATGGAGTACTTGATGGTATTAAATTCCTAGGTTATAGTCTCTTTCTTCTTTTCAGGTTCTATATTGCATCCAAACAAGCTACAAATAAATACTTCTTCCAAGAGAGCAATTGACATAGTTGGCAAATTATGTCTTTACAGCCAGAGGTCACTTATACCACTTGAACCCAGTTCCTATGGATCCCAACTGGTTACTTAGTAGGTTAACAGCAGGATTAATGTGATCTGAGTAAGTATATGCTACAAGGGAAAAACCTCATGAGACAGTTTCTTTATGAAGGCTGCTTTGTGGTACACTAAAAAAAAAAAAAAAAAGAGAGAAACTACTAATCTTGTAGATCCTGGATATGTGGTTGTGAGATGTATTACAGATGAAAAAAGCTATATTACAGATGAAATGTCAGAATAAATCCTTCTTCATCCAGAAAGAGAAGTTAATACAAATTTCAGAAAGCACGTTCTGTATACGTTCATCACTCAGAATTTTAATGCAGTTCCCAGGCTGAATCAGAAGACCAGGAGTCCTGATGTTAATTTAAAGATCACCAAATTAGCAATTTTTCCCCTCCTAACTGCAGCAGCCCTAAGAGCAGCAGCTCTACAACTGGCCTGAGGCCAGAGAGAGTCTCAGACAGAAGCTATAACACGAATCATTCCCTTCACCAGTGCATGGCAAATTTCACTGCTATTTAGCACAATCAATATTGGAGTCCTGACCAATTTCTCCAGCTGGTAGTTTTTCCAATGAGAAGAAATAGACAATTATCTTTTTTGTAGGGAAGTAGATCTTGGCTCTCAAAGCCTGAAGGTAGATGGTAAAATGGGCACAGGGAAAGGTGGACAGGCAGCTCCACTCCTTCAACACAAGGCCTGTGCACCCAGGTGGCCACGGTGGCCTCAGACTTAACAGCCACAGAAAAAAAGTTTCTGCTTCACAGTTGTGGAGGGGATTCCCTCCCTTCTAACCCCAGATACAGCCCCACTTTACCACCTCTTTATGTATTATGTGAGAGCTCGCACCACTTTAGCCAGGCAACTGGCCCAGAAGAAAAACCAAACAAGCTCCTTCTGAGACAGTGCAACCTCCCCAGCAGACTCATTACCACATGCTCACCAGTTTGGGGTCCTACGGGAAGGCAGTATGGCAAGCTGGGAACACAATATGACTTGTAAGACATGAACTTTCAGCATCACACAGTATGGGGCAGAGGTCCTTGACCAATCCTACAGCTCTGAAGGTCCTTATACAAGCTAGCCTTTCAAAAGCCCCATGACCTCCTTTAGTTTAAAACTTATGCCTAATGCTTTTTCTATTATTTCTTATACAAATCCATAATTGTTTTCTTGTTTGACACAAATCCCTTACTCTGAAAGAAACAGAAGTGCTTCAGTTACAAATGCTCTGCTGGCTTTATGCAGGCTGGGATGCTCTGCAACAGAATCACATGGTACTAAGGGCAGTACATCCAGAAGTGGGTCTCAATTCTCAAGATCAGTGGTGAACAAAGAGTTCATTTCCATTCTTGAGCATTCTGCCTGAAGAAGTTAATCTAACTACCAATTGATCATTAGCAACTGAAAAGCCCTGGCACATATGTTCAAACATGTAGCCACTCAATAGCTAGGTGTCATTGTCAGAGCAGCCACTAACACTCAAGCACACTCACTTGAAAAAGAAATCAGATAAAATTATGCTTTCAAGTGAACTGACACACTAAACCACAAGATCCTGGAAACGAAAACAAAACATCTGCTATCTACTATCCCATGGTACTGAGACCTGAACAAAACACTAATCACAGCTCTGAATGTCTTAGAGTTTGGCAATGGAGTTGCCAACATTCAGAATTTCCTCTCAGGTACACTTTGTACATGAACAGCATGAAAATTTAGTACATAGAATTGCTGATAGAGAAACATTCAGTCTGGGGTTTGCAGTGACTCTAAGTAGGAGGATAGTGCATTGTTCAACTGGTCATTTGTAACAGAAATCATAACGGAGATAAGATCAACTACATCCCATGATTTTCACAACATCCTTGTGGAGACAATTTATTTAGGCCATATATCAAACTTTTGATAATTCCTTGCTTTGGAGAAATAAAATCTTCCATAAATATAAAGATAAATTTCAATGAGTATATATGTTCTTGTATTTCAACTATCAAGTACCACAATGCTCCCATGTGGTACAAAAGCTTTTCTGATTGGAAAATTGGGAACACAACACCAGAAACTCAAAATCATGTTAGAAAATTAGAACTTTAGATTTTTAACATTTAATGAACAGAGAAATTTATCTAGAAATGGAAATAAAGCCCTTGGAAAAGCTTTAGACAAGAGGAATAATCCACACGTTTCTACTGTTGGAAAGAACCTTTGCTTAAGTCTACAAGGTACCATGCAAGCACACCAGCTCAGTCAATGTCTCTTCATCATGTTTCCAGCTTGTTTACTTTAAAAGAATACTTAATAAGTTTCTTTCACTTCAAAAAGGAAAAATACAGTATGACGCCAAGGCTGAAAGTCTATATAATAATATCTAAGCCCAAGGGAATTGCTCCAGCCAAGTTGAGAACCTATGAAAATAATGGAGATACTATAATAAAACACTTATGACTTCACTTGCATGCAGCAAGACAGGGAAGTGTAACACAGCCCCTTACCACAGTGATGAAGTAATGCTATTCAGCAGGGTTATATGATAGGTATCATTAGGCTGCCCATACAAAAATCATCACTTTTATGACATTAAAATTCTTCCATATTGACTCCAGACCAAAAAGAAGACTGAAAACACCTGAAATAAAACCTACTAACTGTGGAACAACTTGGAACTTCAAAAACAGACAAAAACATGTTTCAAAAACATGAAACCACTTTGAGATCAGAAAATCTGTATAACTGTCATGAATATAAACAAGACTTGTACATAAAAATAAAAATTAAATCCTGCCTAGGTCAGCATAAAATACCTAGGGCTAGCAATATACCACAACAAACTTCAGCTGTAAGCCTCATTCAGATGTGACATGAACATGCAGCCATTAAGCAGAAATTAAAAAAAATCCAGAAGCCCAAATTGACTATGTCCCACACACTTCACCTCCTGCAAAACTTCATTAAACAAGGATTTCATTCTCCATCAAAAAAAAAAGAGTGGACAATACCTTTGTCTTCATGTCTACCACATAGTTTTCAAAAATCAGGCTCTCCTTTTTGCGTTCACCACATTGGCCAGATCCTTCTGATCCACTGGAAGCTGCAGGCTAAAGAGCAGAGTGGAAAAACAACATAAATAAAATAGCTGAGATGCGTGCTTTAATTCAATTACATTTAAACATAAAGATTATCACGCACACACAAAAGGGTAGACTGAATTTAGATAAGTATCAGGTGGCTTATAGAGAAGATTTTCACCTCAATGTTTTTTCATGCAAAACTTTCTGTGTTTAATCCTACAGGCACTCTCATGGTAGTCTGTGAAAGTCTTAATAGGCTAAATCTGCAATATGATGCTTATCATAATCTCTGTGTGACTTCAGAAGACATTCAAGGTGCTCTGCAGCTCTCAGCAACACAACATAAAGATAAGGAAGGAAATCAGTGCCCTGGCAAAAAGACCTGCTGACTGTGATGGGGTTCTCATCTGGAGCAGCTGCAGGAATTATATCTCCTTACAGCAACAAACAAATTATCTGGTTTGTTTTCTTATTTTTAATTCATTACATTCCCCTAAGTTAAACATTTTTTATAAGGTTTCATGCTTGACTAGTAACCATATGTGTAAATCTTTTAAATTCAAATGCATTTTTTGTTACTTTTCCTTCATTTACACAGATTTCAATCTTACATTGCTTACACAAAACCCTCATAAAACACACAGTATTTCTTCAAATAATATTTTTGGCAGAAGACATAGTAAATGGCTATATTTGTTTTTTCAATTTTCTTGCTGGAAATCTAATATATTACTGTAGATTTTACATTAAGACAGTAAATATTACAAATGACATCTCTGTTTACAATGCTCTGCCCTGCAATAATGTGTTTGAAGAGGCAGCCTTTGAATGAAACATGATGACTGCCTCTAACTTAGATCTCAAAAAATTTCTGAGCACTCTGCAAAAGCACAAACAGGAAAGCAGGGAGGATTCAAACAGAGCTCAGTGTCTTGTGTCTGTGGGTGCCAGACACTGCAAGCGCCCTGAGTGATTTAGACCCATCCTGTTTTAGCCCATGCAGGCATCCCGTGGGACTGCAGTCAATTTTAACACAACAGGCAAGAAATTGTTAGCATTTTAAGTAGAGCAGCCTTTGCCAGCACAACTTAGAAAACAACAAGCCAGTGCCACAGAAACAGCCAAATCACACTCGTATGTGCAAATGTTCTCTCCTCTGATCTTCGGTTGTTTATTTAGGGCTCTGTCCAACAAAAGACTGAGTGCTGGCCCTGGTCCAGCCAACTACTTAGACACGTGCTTTTAGCTTCACTGCAACCAATGGGTAAGTCTTGTGCTCCAGTAAAGACTGTTTAAAGGTTGGATCAGGCCCAGCAGCTCAGCATTACATGGGGCTAAATACACAGGGCTCCACAAGTCCTCTCTGAGGTTACAGCTTCCCTCACATGGAGAACCACTCATTCTCTTGGCTGGCTTCTAGTCACCAAAGGGTGTTGAGTATCTCCCATTTGCAATCTGGAAGGGAGTAAGACACAGAAAGACAACAAGGCCAAAATTTTCAAGGACAGCAGGTAACTGAACCCAGGTCTTGCCTCAGAGCCTACAGAAAATCCAAGCAACTCCCTAAATGTTTCTTTCAGGAAGAGAAAATTGGTTTTGCAAGGAGCTAAAAAGCATGCATAAAATCTTCAGTTCATCTTTGCTTTTTTGACATAAATATTTTTCATTGTTATTATTTACAGGCAACAATATAAACTGTTCAAATCAATATATTATTTATTTGCTCTAATCATCAAAACTTAAAGGATCCCGATTTTAAAGGAGTTCAGCTCCTGCAACTTCTCTAAAGGGGTTTGACAAGCTTCAGCAGAAACTTCTATGGTAACATTTATCAAATGAGTGCAGCTGCAAAACAGAATAAGAAACTTTCCTAATTTACATTTTACATGTTTTTTTCTCAAATTTTTCACCATTAGTTTGCTCCAATATTTTGAAAGAACATAAAATAATGTCATAAGATGCTATGAAGTGTTTCCATTGTTTGCATTAGGGAAATGGGTTACAAATTCATTGTAAAGAACAGAAAATCAAGAACATTAGGGAGGTTCAACCAGCTCAAGCAAGAGTAATTGTAATAAATCTGGAACATCTCTCTGTTCCAGTGTATTAAGGTTCAATAATCATTAGCAAAATAATATATAGTTTCCAAACCTAAACAAAGCATATGTTAGAAATCTATCTGAACACCAGGAGATATTTAATTCTGTGTTATGAAATGTATGGGACTGTATAATCCAAGAGACAGAAAGAATACTTGCTGTGCATTGTGACAGATTTAGTAAAAACTAACAATCTTGGATTTGAGTCTTTTCTTATTCTTGATTACATACAAACCTCCCTTTGGAGGCCAACAAAAAGTCTGTCCTGCTTAAAATTATGTGTATACTTTATAGCCAAAAGCTGCCTGCCCATGCAAAGGAAGTGTTTCAGCAACACCCCATTATTCCTGAACCATGACCAGGGGATGCAGAACTGGCAGCCCCACCACAACACACTACAAATGCAGTGGACAACATGCACCATGCTCACACATCCTTGCAGGAGGTTCTGGAAATAATTACTTCAAGCTTGAACTACGATTACTGCCAAACCTATAGACTCTTTATTGCACCCCTGCACATAGAGGGCTGGTAGTTGGAACAAATTTATCTTCACAGAGGAAAGCATGACCTTATTCTCTTCAAACTGGTCAGAGAACAAAAGAGATTTCACAAGCAAATATTGCAAGGGCAGATCAAAACTTCACTTGGTAACGTTACTCACATGGTTAGTAACAATGAACCTTGAAGACCACACCTAAAGCAACCTTCTAATTTTGTGCATAATTAACACTAATCTATTTAGATTATAATTAACAGATGCTATTTAGACCATAATCTCTTCAGAACGTCTTTTTAATTGTGCAAACACACCATTATTTAAATATTTATTAATAAAATAATAACCACATTACCTACCTTCCTAATTTTGTCTAATTTTAACAGTGCTCAATGAAGTTTCTCTGTGCTTATAACACATCTTGCAGGTAGCTTTTCAGGACAATTCACAATTGACACAATTAACTGACAATAAAAACTCTGTCTGATTCCACTTTCAGCAGGCAGCAGGTCATGTCTGAGCCAGCAAGCAGACAGAAGGAGCATCTGCCCTCATAGGCAATTATGGCATGTGAGGTTTCCATGAGTTTCTACAGCAGCCAAGCCATATAATAATGGTGGATAAATTCCCCAGTCTAGCATAAGAACTTATAGAACTTATAGAAAAAAAAAAATTTATACCGGATATATCAATAGGAGGAACTTATAACCAAAAAAAATAGAAAAAAAATGTTTATTTCTTGGGGTGAAGCCCAAGACTGAGAATATAAAAAAATATTAAAAAAA